TTCTATCCAATACTTATAATAAAAGAGCTAACACTGTCCTAATTCTTAAATCCTCATAAAACCCTTTGCAGAAAATACTATTATGATCCCCACTTTATAAATAATGACACCAAAGCACAGAGTAATTATGAAACCTGCTCAGTTTCATAAAGCTATTAAGTAAAAAAAGAGGTGAGATTCTAAAACCTAGCTCCAAAGCCCAGAGTTTAACTTTTTTTGTGTGCTTTGGACAAAAAAATTTTGGTAGTCTAATGAAGCCTGTGGATTTCTTCTCAGCTTAATATTTTTAAATGCATAAAATAAAATGCAAGGATTACAAATAAGACCAATTATGTTGAGAACAAAAACCCCAAATGTGTGACACAGTAATACACATGCTTCTTAATGTAGTGGTAGAGCTCTTCTCTACTATAATGTAGAGATGTAATAATGTACATAACGTAATGTTTACATTACCTTACATCAATGTTTTGATGTAATGATAAACATTTTGAGATCCCTACAACCACAGCATATCATAAAAAATATGACTTGTACTAGTAGTAAAATCACAAGTACTGTTGGTAGTACTGTAGTTTGCGCTTTATACTGGCAATTAAAAGAAATGCTAACTTCTAGTTAGAGGTTAGTGAAGAGGTAATTTTCCCCCCTAAGTTTAAGGATGCCATCCATCTTAAGACCCCTACACTGCACACTATAATAAAAGCCTCTTAATATTGCAATTTAAAGGGACCACTCCCGAGTCCTTGTCTCTTTCTTCACAGGCTCCCTTGGTAATGTCTTCCAGTGTTGTGGTTCTACTACTAAGCTGATGACCACAAAATATATCTCTAGTCCAGACCTTTCCCCTGAACTCCAGGAGACTGAATTGGTTATCAATTCAACCCGAATGTCTAACAGGCATCTCAAACTTAACCATGTCTAAAACTGAACTCCTAATCTATTTCCCAAACTTGCTCTTGTCACAGTCATACCTACTACCATGGTTGATGGCAACTCCATCTTTCTAACCACTCAGACGAAAAACCTTGGAATCATCCTTGGCTCCTCTCTCACATGCCACATCTGATCTATCAATGAATCATATTGGTTTATTCTTCAATGTATATCCAGAATCCAATCACTTCTCACCATCTCCTGGTTACCACCTTTACAAGTCACCAGCAGCTCTCTTCCAGATTGCTAACTTCATTACAAGTCTCCCTGCTTCTTCTGTTCTCCCCTGCAAAGGGGGTGATCCTTCTGAAGCTGAAAGCAGACCATGTCACTCCTCTGTTGAAAATTCTGGGCAAAGTCCTTATAATGACTCTACAAAGCACTGTGAAATCTGCATCCCACCCTGAGCCAAGTTACTATTTATTGCTCTTTTTTGTTCATTCCGTTTTAGCCATACCAGGCAGAATTCACTACCTCTGCCTTGGCACCTTGGAACTATTCCCTCTATTTGGAATGCTTTCACCCCAGATATTAACATGGCTCTCCCTCCCTTTTAAGTCTTTGCCTAAATACCATTCTCAAGAAGGTACACCCAGTCTACCTCATTTTAAATTATCACATCTTAAAAAAAAAAAATATTACATCTTTCCCAGAAATTCTGGATTCCCCCTTACCCTGCTCCATTTTTCAAAGCACTTACCTTTGAATATTCTGTATTATTCATTACTACCCATCACTAGGAGGGGTGCCCACAAGGGCAAATTTTGTTTTGGACACCACTCACCTCTAGTGCGCCTATGTTTGGCACAAAATAGACATGCATATGTTCAAAGAACAGCATTTCTATGGCTGTTAAGTACTTGCCTCTCTCATTAGAAGAGTTCCTTAAAGACTTTAACTGGATCTAATTTGCAGTGTCCTCAACACCTGGCCCCAACAGCCGACACCTAATGCACAGATACTCAGGCAATTACAGCCATTTTCACCTGAAACACAATCCTATATGCCACAGGAAAAAAGCCAGGTCTCACAGCTGTGACTGATTAAAGAGTGAGTACAAGACAAACACAGAACATTAGGTTCCAACAGTTACTTCAATCAAACTGAATTTGTTTCGTGCCTCAATTTCTTCATGTGTCTAAGAACCATTTCAAACTACCCGAAGTTTAAAAGGGGCACTTGGTCATTCCTTCCCCCGGGCACATTACCCCCTCAAGCCCACCTAATCTTTCCAAGCTTGACTTAAAATCCTACCTCTTAAGTATTCCCTGATGAACCCCAGCGAGAAGCATTTATACACGCCACACTCTGTGCCAAGGGCTTTTCATACATTATTCTCATCCAATCCTCCCCAAAGCCCTATGAGGTTGCTACCATCACAATCCCTATTTTGAAGATGGGAAAACCCAAGCTTAGAGAGATGAAGACACTTGCCCGAGATTCAACTAGTGTTCAAACCCAGGGATGTCTGACTCTGAAATCCAAGTTCTTTAACCCTACAGTACTGCTTTCCCCCCTCCAGTGGCATAATGACTAACTAGCTTCTACATACTACCTCAGAGGGTCTCCTGTCCCTTCATTTCTCTAGGTTTCAGTTTTTGCATCTGAAAAACAGGTGATGATGTACTAAGATCCCTTCCAGTTCTTATAGTATTATAACAGAAAATATTTTATAATTATTTTTATACTCCATGCAGGTTAATACACACACACATGCACACGCACACACACACCTTGGAACTTAAAAATGCAAAGCAGTGGTGACATAAAAGCAGTGCAAATAACTCCAAGACCTTGTGTCAAAAAATAAACATTCTTGATTCCTCCCTACTCAGGTCCATTAAAGATGCACTTCTGAGTTCATTTTCCCACATTACGAAAAATTAGGTTTTCCCCAAGAAGTGTAAGGATGTGATCCGTAAGGCTTCTGGACTTCACCACACAACCTGGTAAAAAGAACGGTCAGCAGGCACTTAGTCCAATCAGGGGGCTAGCATGTTATTTTGTACAGGACAACTGTTCAATAAGTGTTTATTGGATCATGATACAGAATGGTTTGAGGTTCTCCAAGTCTCACACCAAAAGCCTATACAACATGACCTTTGTAACTGGACTGATGATTGTGCAGTAAATTAAAACAATCTAATCAAGGTAATGTTAACCTAAAAGCAAAGAACCCATGAAAGGATAAAGCCATGTTGAGACAACTTACTATCAAAAATAAGAGTTGGGTTTATCTAGAAAGGTAGTGTAATTATTTCTCTTTGTGTGCAGAAACAACCGTCAATATCCCAACATAATCCTCCTGTGTTGCAACTGAATCTAAGAACTATCAAGGAAGATCCACACATTACTGGACCAAGTTGAAAAGCTTTGGCAAAGGGTTCAAAAAAAAAAAAAAAAAGCGATAGCAGAGCTAAGGTAAAATGTGCCAAAAGAGCAAATCTCTTGGAATCCTTCTGCTCATAACGTGACAGTTTCATCTGAAATCCCTACCAACGGTTAAGTTTGAAATGAGTCGTATATTCGTAGATCTATACTTCAACCAACACCAGCAAATGGAGTTTCAGATAGCATGTTAAAACAATAGTCTTGTGAGGGCGTAGGGAAAGAAGTGAATCCAGGCTCTGGAGTGGAAGCTCTCGGAGGTATCAGATACAGTAGCAGATACAGCCCTCCACAGAAATATCAAAAAAAAAAAAAAAAAGTCCAAGGCTGAAAAAATACTTTCGGGCAAAACTATATTTCAGTTTTCTAGAATGCTGTCTCTTTAGAGAATCCTCAAACGATCCCGGGTTTTTAAGTAAGTCTTTACGAGAAGTAGAAAGTCATCCATTTAGGGTACAAGGGTCCTGTTACCAAGGAAGTTGTGTCCGAAAGTGTGCAAATCCCACAATCTGGAAGAGAACGTTTGCCCCTCCGAAGGCTTTCATTTTCAGGCGGAAAAACAAACCCGGTGTCACCTCAACATCGGGGCCACACAAACCTCGCCACCATTACAAAACCGAAGTGCCAAAGGTGCAGAATCTGAAGCCGGAAGCACTACGAGGCCAAGATCGAGTTCCAGGAGAAAAAAATCAAACCCGAGAGGGCAGAGCGGACTCTTCGCGGCCCCGGGCCGGGAGAGGCACGCTAGGCCCTTCCGGTCCGAGCCGCGGTCGCCGGGAGGCCGGGCGACAGGCCGGGTGACGGGCCGGGCTTCCACCCGAGCCCGGGGATTCGCGGCCTACCCTCGCCGGTGCCCTCTCGCTGACTCCCGACACCGGCAGCTCCTCCGCCTCAGCCCCTTCGCCTGCGGCGCGGCCTGAGCGAACCGCGGGGAGCCGGAAGAGACCACCGAGCCTCGAGCGGCCGGGTCGGTGCGGACGCGGCGGCGGCAGAGGCCGTGTCCGCGGCCGCCCCTCCCCCA